AACCGGGTACCTTGACTCCTCAAGGATCATGTAATCACGTGGTGGCAATGGAAGCATGCTAAAATTGTGCAAGGCAAATGCATCATCAACACTTAGGACCTGCTCAAATGTGAACTGAAGAAATAAGTCTATCCGAGCAATGTGGCATATGAAGCACAAAAGAAGATGCGGGAGCTCAAGCACACAGGTTCTATTTCCAAATTTATCAACGAGTTCTCAAAGCTCATGCCCTCAGTCGATAACATGAATTCGGAGGACTTACTTTTCAATTTCATGGAAGGATTCCAACCATGGGCACAACGAGAGCTCCAAAGGTGTCAAGTCGCTAATATCTCCATCGCCTTTAACGAAGCTGACACCCTTGTTGAATTCCGCAAGGGCAAACCATCTAAGCCAAAGAAAGATGTCAAGCTCGCTTAAGGCAAAGGTGGGGGAGGGAAGGGAAATAAACCATCGCACCACCTAGAGAATAGGGATAAGTTGCCTCAAGAGAAGGAACTGTAGAAAGATGGCAAGAAAGAGTATAAACACCGAGAGAATTGCTATCTTTGGATAAGGGATTTCCCCCAAACGCAAGGCCTTTAATGCCATGTTCAGCAACATGAAAGAGAAGCAACTTGAGACTTTTGCATCCGAAACCACCAACATGGGGTGCCTCCAACTCCTCGAGGAATTAAAGGCTAAACTCGAACCAACCAAAGTACAAGATAAATCCTTCATGCATGTTGAAGCAACCATTAGTAGGAAAAAAGTTCAAGCTTTGTTGGACACGGGTGCTTCCCACAATTTCATCAAGGATAGTGAGACGAAATTTGATGGCATACTATCTCCAAATGCTTTTTTATGCAAGTGAAATTAAGGTAATATTTGTTGGCTTTATAGGGCCTAGCAATTTCCCAATAGACATTTTTTTTTTTTTTTTTTTGCCTAGTAAGTGGTAATTTTATAAAGAATAATGAAAAACACCCAAACAGGGATAAAGCCCCTAGCACTACAGCTCATGCACAAAAACACACGAGACGAAGAAGTGCAAAAGAAACAAAAGGCTAGGATGTACAATCCTTTACAACATAGCTTGAACCTGAACCAAAAAAGAGGCAAGGTTGCCTTTACAAAAACTTGAAAATTCCTAGCCTAAGTAACCAACTTTCACACAACACTTTGAGCAGAAAATCAGCAACATATTATAAGAAGAAATCAGCCTAGGAGCAACAAAAAAAGCTAGCAGCTAAAGCTTCCAGGAACCATAACCAAATAGCAAACCAAACAAAAATATCCCATCCCAAGCAACCAGCTTTCGCGAAGCATGTTGAGCAGAAAATCACCATCAGATAGCAAGGAAAATACAGCCTAGTATTAGCAAAAAACCAACAGCAAAAGCATCTAGGAACCACAACCAAACCAGCAAAAAACATTCAACAACATACAAACCCACACACTTCAACTAGGGGTGGGCGGGTCCAAGTACCCACCTTTTTTTAAAGGAACTGGAACGGGCCAGTTCCTTTGATTTGGAATCGGAACCAGAATTGACAGTTTTATGTTCCTACAAACCTGGAACCGAAACCTGTTTCGGTTTCAATTCCGGTTCCAGCTACCTAGGAAAATATTATTACCCCCCTAATTTTTAAAAAATAACAAATAAACCCTTATAAAATTATATTACACCCCCATCAGTTTACAAAAATGAAAAATATATCATATTCTTATCAATTAAATCATTCATGTAATCAATTTGCTTTTACTACTAGATAGCATACAAATAATTCATAATAAATGATTTGTTGTAATCAAACATTCATATAACTTACACATATTTATTTTCATCATTTGATTTAATGATACTTTCATTGTACCGTCAATATTTAAAAAAAAAAAGAAAAATACCCATGAAACTTTTATTCCAAGTTCTAGCAAGGAAAAGAAAACACAGTATTTATGACAACCCAACTATAAAACTTAGTCAAAAAGCAAAGTCAAGTAGGCTGAGCTGCTGCAAGCTTAAGCTGATTCTTATACATGATCTAGAATTTAGTGAGCAATTTGCTTATAGCTAATAAGTTCTACTTTTACACTGCAAACAATCAAGCAGATAATATATAAATGTCATCATCATTATTTCCTCCATTGTACATTAATATCAGATTTTTGTAAAAAAATGTTACGAGATAACACTTCTAACAGACTAAAAAGTAACTAAAATCCTAAATTTTCTTATATATTTATAGGACATGGAAAATATAAAAAAAACCCATAATTTAATATTATCTCAATTTAGTCCCGATTCCTTTGATTTGAAACCGGAACCGCACAGTGTCGGTTCCAATTTTTTAGAACTAAAATTGACCATGTATGGTCAATTGCGGGTAGGAACCGGAACTGGAACCGAAATTTAGGTACCCATCAATTTCGATTCTACCCTAAAATTTTGCCCACCCCTAACATCAACTCCAGTTTTCAATTCCCTAAAGCACTCCAACGACCCCATAACAACGGCATACACTTGGTTGAAAGTATACACTTGATTTTTACACGGTGAAAGTATTAAAGTATATGGTCGTCCTTAGAGTATGTTCGGTCGTTTTAAGAAAAGAAAGAGGCAGAAATCGATTAATGTCTTGACATGACCCTGAGGGCATTAACACAACATGAACATTGGATCCTACCTTTATTAGAAGGATTAAATACATGGTAGGAGTGGACGGAACTTATTCAGTTCAATTTTTGGGCTAAACCAAAAAAACTAAAATATACTTTTTTTCCTTAAAAATCGTGCAAGACCGGCCGCTCTTTGGTTAGACTAAACGGGTCCAAACTGAAAAATATCAGTTTGATAGAGTTCAGTTTTTGTTATATCTCAACAAATGAAAAATGTATTGTTGATACTTGATTTTGAACAGTAACAACTCGCATGTATAAAATGTTAAGAGAGTTATAAAAATTACACGTGATCGATCCATGAGATTTGAATATGATACTGAGATTATATATGTTGCAGAAACATAAATAATAGATTGACAAGAGAGGTTTTTATAGTGGTTCGGATGCTTAAAGCAAATCCTACATCCACAATTATTTTATTATTCTCTGACTATTTTTATGATATTGTCCATAAGACATACAAAGATGAAGAAATACTTTGCTTTACAAAGAGAAATAATGAATGTCAAATCTATGTCTAACTCTTATATGTCCAACCCCCGTTTTCGTGAAGAGGGGTGCTCATTTATACACATTTTAGGTCAATGTAATGAATGTTTTTGCAAGTTGCACTAACACGTGGAGACCACTCCTTAATCCTTATCAACTTTATTTTGATAAAGTTGAGACAGGTGTGTGGTTCTCATCCACTCATAGACAAAACTTGAATCAATTGGGTTAGTAACAACCGTATCCCTTCTGTCTTGGGGCGACGTGGCAGCTCTTGGACAGTACAAAGTCTTGCTGAACTATGATTGATCGGTGCTGATACCAGTGTGATTTTTAAGGCACAACATTTATAAACTATCATAATTAACACAAGGATCTAATTATACTAAGGCTTGACAAAATTGGGCATGACCTGGTAACACGCCACAAACAAATTCGTTAAGAGCGGTTTTCAGTTTAACTTTATTGGGTTGGGTCATTAACGGGTCAACGCATTAGTAACTCGTTTCATAACAAGCCTTATTCGGGTTTAGTCCTTGAAAACATTTGATCCATTCAACTAGTTTGACTCTTTAATTATATATATTTTAATAATAAAGTATTTAAAAATAATAAAAATGAGTTGTAACATTTTGATAATTTATTTTATTCTTTTTTATATCAATTGAGTTGTTATAACGTCAAAAAGAATACCATAATGTATGGTATGTAAAAATAATTAACTAGTAATGCAAAAGAAACACAATTACATTTGCATTTAGCCATAACATGTAGCAGAAATAATTGATATACGATTTAAGTACTCCATAGAAAAAAAAATTATGATCCAAACAGTTGAAAGCATTTCTTAAGAAAATTCTTTTGTAAACTATTGAAATACATATATAGATGGATTCTTAATACAAGTTCAGCATTATGAAATTGATTTTAAATTAATGAGTAATAGTTGTCAAATAAATTGATGCTCACGTAGAATATTCTAGTTTATACACACTAAAATTTCGTTTTTTATACAAACTATTTTACAAATTAATATAAGCTCTCAGTAATTTCCAAGAAAATTAAGTGTTTTCCTGTGATATTCATCAAATAAATAATTTTGCCGACTCATTTTTGCTAAAATTGAATCTTTGCGCAAGTTACAGATTATGGAAGTAGAAATGCTTGTTATTATTGATTTTTGAGTGTACCTCGTTTTGTTAGCATTTATGTTAAGATCGAAAGAGATAATAATACATGACATGATATTATTATACAGATGTCTAATATACAACATCTATTTTATTTATTATATTGCATCATCCATATAATTATCTATATAGTGTAATAAAAAATTTGGGTACAAATGAATATCTGTTTTCTTTAATTTATTTAAAAATAAATATTTTATGACAAGATTTTGTTAGAAGTTTCCCTATCCTATTGGAAAACCAAATAAGAAATTAATTTAAAATGATGAAGTGATGTCGGTCAAGTGAAACTATTTAAAGATCTATAAAGATAAACTGATAAATGAATTTTATAAATTTTCTCTTACAAACTCGATATGGCAACTAATAATTGGTTTCTGATTAATTCATTAGACGAAAAATTTATTAGAAACCAATTATCAACTATCACATCGGATTTACGAAATAAATTTTTTTAGTTTTTTTTTTATCTTAGTATTATCATTAAAAGATTGTAATAATGATAGGTTGTGTTACGAGAGATCATCCTATTCCGATTCAACGATAGAGTGAACCTTTATAGAAAATAACAATTTTCTTTTACACAGAAAGCCAAAATATAGGTCCAACATCTCTCAAGTGAATGAGTGAGTGGAAGAGGGAGGAAGCAGGAACCCCACATAAATGCATCAAAACTTCCATTCTACATGCATAAATTAATTAGAACACGATTAATAAGAGTAAGCACGATCCAAACTCAAAAACAAAAAGAGGTGGATATGAATGAACCAGAAGACGAAGGGACCCAACATGCATATGGCAATATCTGAGTGTTGCCTAATACTTACAAAAAACTTTGATTTCTGACAAGTCAACCCACGGAAAGATGTTACGGGACTCGTTGACTTCCCTCCTCATAATCATGCATAAATTATTTGCGATCTTCATCAAACAAATTAACACCATTTGCAGAACTTGTCTCCAAACTTCAACTCTCTTTTCTCCTCCACAACATCTTACAAATATTACACAATTAAAGGGACAGATCGAAAGAGATCAGATATATTGCACATGCATGGGATTAATTTTTCATATTATTCAGAGCTGTAAAAAGTTAAACCTAGAAAATATATGGACATGGGTTGGGCAAAAAATTGTCACTTAGTTGCTAGAAAATAGCCACAGAGTGTAAAATTAATACCATTACTTCATGTCAAACTTTGACAGTCAAAGTATATATTAATTCCCACAACAAAAATAGAGATAACCAAAGGGCAAAATTGATTAGAAAATCCAAAGTACTGAGAAGATCCAAGTGGGTATCTTTGACAAAACAGAAGAAGTCGTATCTTCATTAATTTTATGCATCATAGCTGCTATTTGCATGAATGAAACTGAATATTTGTTGAACCGAACTTGCTATATCTTCTGCTGTGAACCTTGATTCGCCTGCTACCTGCACACAATTCAGGGTAGAATCTAAATTAGATATTGATTTCGACATGAATCACTAAAAATAAAGAAAGAAATATTGTTAATACCTTAACGTTAAAAGAATATAGAACTGTTTGTTCGATGGTGGTGATGTTGGTATGAAGAATATTGAACTGCAAATCTTCTAGTGCGGCAATGGTCTTGATGAGCTGGCCCGGCCTTCTCCTGGAGAGGATCTTTATCATGGCATCAAACCCTAGAAGCTTCACCTCAACATCTGCCAAGCAAGACTTGTTTTCGGCTGATTCCTCTTGAAGGCCGGTTTCGAAGTCCATCATCTTAATTTGATCATTTGGAAACGGTAAAGGAGGAGGAAATAGTGATTGCTGTTGTTGTTGTTGGACTGCTATAGATGATGAATCACCCATTTGCCGTCCGCCCGGTGCTTCTCCTAAAAGTCTTCTTCGTTTCTGTGACTCCAGACATTGAAGAAGTTGCTCCAATTCTCTGACAAACTCGATGGCTCCGCCTATGATTGAAGCTTGATCTCCCTGCAAACTCATATAGATAGGTTAACAGTTATATGTTTATCGATTTTCTTCTTGATGTGTGATTTTCTTTAATAAAGTAAAAGAAAAGGAAATCACAACTTTAAATACCCTTTGAACATATGAGCCAGGCATGAGAGACCTCAAAACTCTGAGATGTTCATTCATTTGCTTCCTGCGATTTCTTTCGACTGCGATATGAGTCATTCTTTGGCTCTCGACTTCTTCAGTTGTCTTGATAGTTCTTGGTCTTTTTCTCTTGTTTTTAGCTTCAGCTGGAAGAATATTGCCTTTGTTTTGGATATCATCCCCAAGAAACCGGAGTTGCACCGGGTTATTTTCCGAAACCCTACCTTCTTCATCCTCTCTATTTTCTAATCCTTTAAAATTACTCTCTTCATTGCTCACACCTGGTTGAGGAGCCATGAGAGATTGATCCTCCAATCTATCATTTAACACAGGAAACTTAAGAAAGTAAACCGGGTCGATCCCGGTTTCTTCCTCAGGAATCTTGGACTGATTTAAGGACAACTTGGGGCCAAAATCCGCAAACTGCATCACATCTGCGAAGCTTAGTTTATCGAAAGAATTAGAAGTGCAAAACCCTGAGGAAATCTGGAGTTGTTGTGGTTGAGGATTATTGAGCATATAATCAATCATTCCATGGTCATTATTATCACCCGAACTCTCGCCTATTCGCGGGGGCTTCATGATATGATGATCTTGATGTTGATGATGCTCTAGAGAGTATTCTAGCCCTGGAAAACTCGCCTGCAACAAGTGAAGTTTAGGGCAAAACAACATGGTAAAGACAAGATTTATCAATAAAAACAAATAAACAGTAAACCTATAAGCAATGAAATTTAACTAAGGTAGTGTACCGTGTAGTTCTCTTCTTTGTCCATGACTATATATAAACCCTAAGTGAGCTCAATTCATGAAAAGGACAAAACCTCCACCTGAAACATTTCCCAAAAATTTAACCTATGAATTTACAGCTAGTAAATACAAGTGAGAAGCAAGTGCCAGGGGATTTCTGGATTCTAAAAGAAAGGGTAAAAAAAAGTAATAATACGATAATTTCACCATTAACAGCTAGGGTTTCAGTTAGCTACACAGTAGAAATCAACGTAATAACATAACTTGAACAGACAGATAAAGCAACAAACCTGATTAGATGAAGAGAGAAATATAGAATAAGACAAAGAGTTGAAAAAATGAAGTGGGGTAGTGAAATTTGAAGAGCAGAAGGAAGCAAGTAAGCATGGGGGGTACCACCACGAGGGAGAGTTGATGATAAAAGTATATAGAGAAAGTTCGATGGGGTGGTCAGATGTGTCTTATATATATATGTATATATAATGGGATCATTGGAGCTTTGACTTGAAAAGAGAGAGAGAGAGGAGGAGCCTGGTGGGGGATTAATATTAATGTGAACCTCACAGTTTCACCATATCGATCCATTCACCTCCTCATATTAATGTGTGTCACAGGTGAGCAACGCTCTTTTACTTCACTTTACCACCTCTTTTCATGATCCTAATTAACTCTTTCAAGCTTCCAGATTCCATCTTCATCTCTAACTTTCAAACTTTAGCAATAATATTTGTATCATTTGATTTTTTGAACCGATCATTAAATAAAGTACTACACCCATATATGCATATACTTATTAATATTACAATTTCAATGTGTTTTATTTCAACTATATATTTCAAAAACATGAGGGTGAGATGGCAGTTCAAAAATTAATTGAAAGTATGTGATATGAGTTTCAATTTTTTTATATTTTTTAAAATTAAATATATATATATATATATATATACACACACACAAATTCTGGAAGGATTATTGAACAATATATACATAGTCCAAGGGTCCCCAATTAGAATGTCAAATACGCTCAAATTTTTCTTGTTTTGAAGAGTAATGTTTACGGACTAGTCAATTTGTTGAATTTTTTGGATGAGAGGTCTAAATACATTTGTAAATTAATAAAATTACTTGAAATAATTTGAGGAATTATCAGTTTATCATCTATAGTGAATTAGTTGCCTGGTCGGTATAAAGGGTTAGCTTTTCATGATAAAAGATGACATCTTTGGAATTAAAATTAAAAGGGCAATTGGTTTTTTTGTAGGTAGGGTGTTTGCTTCTGTTTCACGATAAAATTATATGTCTTATTCAGTAAGAAAAAAAGACGAAAATAATAATATGAAGAGGAAAAAAGACGATTCCGTAAGAAATTTAATTGGAATATGTCTTATTCAGTAAGAAAAAAACAAGTTTAAGTTGAAGAAACAACAAAAAAATTAATATTATTAATTCAATAAAAGTAGGCCTTAAAAGTGATCTAGGACTCTCTTGTGTGCGAAAATAATATTATCTAAATAGAATATATACGTAAAAATGTGGCACAAAATTCAGAAAATTAGTTTTCTATTCCCAAAAAATAAATAGTAATAATAATAAGTCAAAAAATTTGCAATTGCATTCTAAGGGATCATATATGCATGATAACTTGATAAGTTAATTAATAATTTGTGCAATTTATATTATAGGCACCAATTATGTATATCCTATTAATATTTTCATTTTCTATCGAATTTCATGTGGTTTTTCACATCAAAATTACTTCATTTTGGGTTCCAAAGCAAGTATACGTGATCGAAATTCCTCAACCTTGAAAAATGGTAGAGAAAATTAACATGTCACTCAAAAGGATTTATGTAAATAAAATAATTAATAAAATAATTTTAACTTATTATTGTTATATTATTTTATAATAAAGTAATTTCAATTATTTTTTAAACTATTAAGAATTTTAGTAGAATAGTAGATCACATATTAAAACGATTTTTTTTTTCTTTCAAAAATTATTTAATATGTCGTCTTATATAATTAATAGTAGATTACATATTATATGTTAATGCCAAATAAAAACTCAAATAATATGTCGTCTTATATAATATCAACACATTATTTAACAAATCAGTTTGTCATTTAGATGGTAATGGATGATAACTTTTGATATATATATTACCTAGGATATGTGGCATTATTCCCCTTTTTTTTTTTTTTTTTTTTTTTGAATGCATCATTTAAGAATTATAGTAAATGAAAATGAGGTATAATACAATCTTTAAAAATTATAACTTCAATGTATACATCAAGTTGATAAGAATTTGAAGCGAAATCCAAGATTGGAATAAATATAAAGTCAAAAAGTAGAAATTTATGGGCAAGTTGAAAAATAAATAAGTTAAACATTCACATGATACAAGTGAATTTAAGCTCACGTTCTCACCTATTTTATATAATAGATTATGGTAATCGAAACAAAGTTGGCAACGTCACCATCTGTCAATCCTTAGGGGTTAGCTTAGCAATCAAGAAGGTTTACTTTCTTCATTGATTTTCTGAGTTCAAACCACCTTGAGGTCACTTACCATATTTGTAACTTACCTTGGAACATTAGACTTGTAGGATGTTCAATGGACCTTAGGGATTAGTTGAGGGGTACACAAACTAGCTTGGACATCTTGAACATCAAAAATAAAAATAAAAAACTTCACCAACTGCCATCAAACTTCTCCATACTCCATTATCTATTATTCGTCAAATTGATCAAGCTACATCAATCATATTCAAAAGATAGTTTTGAATTTAATACTTTACATATAAACTCTTGATGCAAACTAACGAATTTTAAGATGATTGGATGAGTTTGAATTAAAGATAAATTGAATAATTTAATGAATATTACGTGTCAAATATATAGGGTTGCCACATTAATTTATAGAGAATAGTTTATATTAATAGTTTGTACATGTAGTATTACTCTTAGGGTGCGTTTGGTTCAGGGAATGTTTTATTACTGAAAAGATAGATAAATTATCTTGAAGATTATGTGAGAAAGTTATATCAATATGTTTGGTTAGATTGGTGAGTATAAATAAATATTTGGTTGGGAAGAATTAAATGTTATCGGTAGAGGCTTTTATTGAATTGCTCTTCCTTTTTAATAATATTATTATAATTATTATTTAGATAGATTCCTCTTAACCCCCTACATTAGAGAATTAAGCTAAAACACCCCAAGAACAAAATTTTAAATTTTAACTAAATACTCCTAGCTACCACAAAAAATTATTGACCGTCAGTCGCCATTGATTGGATCTGGCCGATTGTGTGTCTATTTGGTTGTTGCCAACCAAATCGGAGGCCAAAAAGGGCTAAATAGTTGTGGATTTGATCACTTTCAACCAAATCTATGGCCATTAACAGCCATGGATTTAACTGAAAATGGTCAAATCTATTCTAGCTGTTAACGGTGGGGGTGTTAAAAAAAAATAAAAAAACCGAACCAAACTGGTAACCGAACCAGTTTTTCGGTTATTTAAAAAACCGGTTTGATTTCAGTTCAAAGAAATACAAAAACTGGTTTTTCGGTTCATTTGCCGATTTACGGGATTATGCGAACCGGTCAACCAAAACCAGTTTTATAAACCGGTTTATTATAAAAATAATAAAATATTAAAAAAAAACAATAAAACTCAAAATGTATAAATCGGTTTGTTATAAAAACAATAAATTATAAAATAAAAACGATAAAACTAGTTTATTATAAAAATAATAAAATATAAAACCGGTTTAAATTAGGAAAAATCAAAATAAAAATTAAATTAAAGAGAAAACTGGTTCAAAACCGATTAACCGGCTAACCAAAAAACCGGTTTTCCCCTTAACCAGTGTGCTTTTGGTTTAGGAACACTCTTAGTTAATGGCCATGGATTTGGTCAAAAACAACCAGAATACTGTTTTCTGAAAGAACAACATGTATGAAGAGTGGTGGAAATGGAGAATGAAAGCATGAAATGATGGATTCAAAAACCGTTTTCAAACAAAGCTTGGAAAAAGGGATTATACCTACTCCTTTGCTTTGGATTGATGAAGATTAGAATCAAAGTAATGAGACTTCCACACTTTAACACCACCTTAAGAGATTTAGAGAGTGGCCGTGGCTTTGAGAGAAAGTTTTTAGTTTGCTTTGAGTGAACAATGTGTGTTATGAACTAAAATGCAATCTTTTGCATTTATATATACTTGGACGATTTTGTAATTATTTATTTTTCACTTCCAAGCCCAATAAAATCTTATTTTAAAAAGGGAGCCCAAGTATTTATTATGTCACCCTTTGAATAATCAATATTATTCAAGGGTTCATGTAAACTAAACTAGTTTACATTAACAACCCATAAATTTACCCTTTTACCCTTTAACTATTAAAAGGTAATTTTCGTTCATCTCATTAATCTTAACGCTTTAAGATACAATAATTAAATATAATTAATTATTGCTTGACCATTTTAACCCTTAAAATGTCACAAACAATTTTCTATGTAACTATTACCATAGAAATCCTGTTATTACCCTTGGAAGGTGCTAGCACTCTTCGGATAATCATTTCTCTCTCTCATCATTCTCTAACTTCTCAAGGCTATTGATGTGACCATCTAGGTCCACCGTGGATTAGCCGTGAGTCAGTTCTAGATAAATCCGAAAACCTGTCCGGAGGCCCAACGACTATGGTAAACATCTAGCAATGTGCCATAGTCCCTAAACCACGATGAAGAAATACTTCATCGAACCCATTTCAGATCATACGTATCATGCAGGTAAGGTAAAGTCCCTCCATTGAAATATCTTGATCGAGCACAGATTCATGGAACGTCAAAATCCTAAACTCGATCTTCTACCAAATCGTTGATCAATATGTCCGGAACTCGTCATCACAAACTTGCTTTTGTATGACTAATAATACACTATGGCCAGAGATTCTGATTTCTGACATTTATCGACGTTCGTCTAGGAACTCAAATCTGAATGGAGTCAACGGTACTCCCGATCCTATATTTCCGAGTCAATGGATCCCCTCTTGACCATCGTTCATTTCCGTATATGAACAACGCATGACCAAATAGGCTTTATTATACGAAACATGATTAGTCTCGTACTTATACACCGTATGAACCATACGCATCCGTATCGGATCCGACTACAATGTCTCAGGTCAAAGGACTACATCATGCACTGATATAACCAAATGATAAATCATTGACTACATGCTTTTCCAAGTGATTTGTCGTTATTCGGTCACATTCGAAAAACAGTTCACCAACCGTTAATCCATACCAATGCCCCAGTGACATGACTATCATCGTCATCCGTACTTATATCAACTCATGATATCTTTCGGAAGCATCCGGTATGCCTACTGTACAATATAGTTGCCCAAATTTATATTGCTTCCGCAGGGAACCCTTTTCGATAATTCATTTACCTATTAAATGAATCATCTGGATAATTCATATACATACTTTATTTTAAATGTATGACTGAATAAAGGAAGCAATTTATATATATGAATTGAAGAACTCTTTCTTCTATTATTTATGATATATAGATACAAGACAAAATGCTCTGAAACCGACAACACGAATGGTTTCTAGGGCATACACTAATATACGCTAACATTTTTGGCTAAATCCAAGGCTATCTGGTCGTTTCCAGCCTTCGATCTAGCCGAAAATGGCCATATCGGCGCACGATTGGCCAAATCGTGCGCCGTTCCAACGACTATTGGCAGCGGTTGGTGGTGGTGGCCGACGACCGGCAGTAGAGGTGTTCCAAAAAATGCAAAAACCAAACCAAACCGAAAAACCAGTTAACCAAAAAAATGGTTCAATTACAGCTCAAAAAATTCAAAAAAAGGGATTTTCGGTTAGGAAAAAATAAAAAAACGGTTAACCGAAACTGGTTTTTTGGACCGGTTATATATATATATATATTAAATAAAAAAATAATTTCATTTCGGACTTTTATTTATATAAATTTTTAATGTATTGTTAGTAGTGGTCAATGGATATGTATGAATGTTTAATTTTTATTTGGATATGTATTGTTTATATTTACAATTTAATTTAGGAAATAATTAAAAAAATAAGTTTTATTAAAAAAAAAAAGGGAAAACCAGTTAACCGAAAAACCAGTTTTCCCTCTAAACCGGTTCGGTTCAGAAAAATGGTTAACCGTTTGGTTAACCGCTTTTGAACACCCCTAGTCAGCAATCATCTACAATGGCTAAATAATTTTGGGTGGTATTCATATAAATAGTGAGGGGCATTTCTGTCTAAAAAATTAATTTATGAGGTTATAACAGTCATTTTACACAATTGAACTAATTGTTATTTGGTAGACATATGAGGATATTTGTGTCCGAAGTGGTTTTTAATTAAGGGTAAAATTTGTATGAAATATGAATAGTAGAATATCCCAATAATCTTTTAATAACACATGTTACAAAGGCAATCTGATTACCCTCTATATTACCAATAATAACAATATTAATAATAAAATATTATTTTAATATTTTATTATTTGACAACCAAATAATATAATACTCGTAATAAAAGATGGATTATCATAATAATCTTCCTATACCCTGACGAAACGCACCCTTAAATAAAACATTAAACTTTTCATAGTTGCATTATTGATGGTATCACAGTTGGCGAATCAGAGGTCAGTGCTGCCAGACGATGGCTACATTGGCCAGGCCAGTGGCGGTTTATTTATTTTAAATTGTTTATTTTTTCTTATTTTTTTAGTTTTAGTATTTTTATTTTTTTAAGTTTTCTTTTACTTTAGTGGAGTTTTTAATTTTTATAATAATTTGAATTTATTTGTTTAATTTCTCTACATTATTTATTTTAATGTTTTTCTTAATTTTGTTTAAGAAGTATTTTTTATGCGTGTAAGTGCATGGGCATTGTTTTCTAATTCATAAAATATTATCCCAGTTGATTATATCTTATTTATTTAAGGCAAAAATAATGAAATAAAAGCTATGGGCTAAAATTTTTCCACTTTTGCCACTGCTTTAAAACTCAAATCAAACTGGCCGGTTGGATCGGGACTTGGCAGCTTTTCCAGTTTGGCTTAGGTTTTAGGGGTTTTTGTAATATTTCAAATTTATAGGGACCAACTGAATTTTGTAGGGGTGTTTTGAAGATATGTCAAAAGTATAGGGATTAATTAATAATTTTTTGGGGCATTTTTTAAATAAAAAAATTAGGGACTAATTTGAAATTTTCTAGCGGTTTTTTATAATATACTAAAATTTAGGAATTAATTTACAATTTTTTAAAATAAAATTATTGCTGATGTCATCAATCTAATTGACTGGTCCAACCGGTTGAACCGATCAACCTATGACCCAGTCATTTTATCGGGTCTCAAAACAGGTCGAGTTTTAAAACAATGCCTTTTGCTATTGAGTAGTGATCTCAATTTAAAAGGGGTCAAAAATATTATATTTTCATTTACAACTCTTATATTGCTATGATGTTTTTTAAAAAAAGAAATATATTATGTGTGAAAATAACAGTTTATTTATCACTATGTGACACTGTGAAAGTGAAGATTATAAAAAGAAGGTTTTCTTCCTTCATTGACTTTATAGGTTCAAACCATGGTTATTAGTATCCTACGATACCCGATACGTATCATACAATACGATTCGATATAAGTCGCCAATGATATGTATCAGAGAGTGTATCCTAAACCTTTCGATATGTTGATATGTATCCTACGATACGATATGTATATGTTCGTATCCTTAAAAATATCGATATGACTTTATTAATTTGGATCAAAGAACCAAAAAAAAATTCGGGTTGGAATTGGGTCACCCAACCTAGTTCACTAAAATCTGCCCAAATTTACCCATGTTGTATGGAGAAAGTGAAGATATAGTGGAAATATAGATATTGACATTAATTTTGTAAATGATATGAATGGTTGAGAGAAAATAATATAGATTTTTAATTTTGATTATGTAATACTATAATTTAAAGCCAATAATACCACAAAAATCTTTAATTAATTTTGGGGATAATATTAATTTTTAGAAAATTTTGATTATTTTATTAATTTTTTTGAAAAAAGCGTATCCTACGATACGATACAATACGATATGCGATATATGATTCAAAAAATTAAGTTTTCGATACACAATACGATACTCGATTTGACAACCATGGTTCAAACCATATTAGGATAATCTACCATATTTGTGGCTTACCTAGAACATTAGACTGGTAGGGTATTCAATAAACTCTGGNATTGATCTTGGAAATGATATGAATGGTTGAGAGAAAGTAATATAGATTTTTAATTTTAATTATGTAATACCATAATTTAAAGCAAATAATACCACAAAAATCTTTAATTAATTTTAGGGATAATATTAATTTTTAGAAAATTTTGATAATTTTATTAATTTTTTTGAAAAAGGTGTATCCTACAATACGATACTATACGCAATATATGATTTAAAAAATTAAGTTTTCGATACACGATACGATACGCGATTTGACAACCATGGTTCAAACCATAGTAGGATAATCTACCACATTTGTGGCTTACCTAGAATATTAGGCTGGTAGGGTATTCAATGAACTCTGGTGATTAGTTGAGGTGCGCGTAAGTTGGCCTAGACACCCCGATTATCAAAAAAAAAAGTGAAAACGATATTTAAAGTGAACACATTATCTTAGTACAAGAAAATAATAGTTTATGAACCTAATTAACCAAAAAAATTTAGAAGAAAATCTCATTCAAGGAAATCCATGAAAAAGTCTTGGTTAAAAGATGGAGTTGAAGTGGGATTTTGAAGAGTTTTGAAAGACAAGAAGTGATGGAAGTCTAGCTAAGTTTTTTACTTTTTAATTAGGATAGGTAATTGTTAATAAATTCTAAAATCTGATGTAATTTGATTGAATATATTGTTAAATTGTAAAATATTATACCATAAAATTGCTATACATAAGTTTCTTACTACACTTGATAAACAGTATTGCTCCTCCAAACATAAAAGAGTTTGTAGATACATTTGTCCTTCATTACTCTCACTGCCTGACACTGAAGAAGATGGAAATTGTCTTCAACCTAACATTATAGAAATGATAGAGAACAAAATTGTATCATACAACACCATGTATAAATGTACTAAGTATAATTTTGATTTCCTCTAATATCTCATCAAAACTGTTCATTTTAATAATTAGAAAAGTTTTTGTAACAATCAGATCAATAATTTTCACTTGTAACATACATGTGCCCATTTAAACAATGCACCATTTTCAATTGCATCATATTTTCATATTAATATTTAATACAATAACATAAATTATATTAATTAAATTGCTGCAGAGCTGAATGTCATTTCATTTGAATACGAAAACCTAGTCTTTATCATTTAACATGAGAAACATGGATTTTGATTGCTTGCAGACTTCATGAGGTTTCTCTTTTTTTGATAGAAAACTAACGACGGAAACACACCAATATAACATTGGCCCTGTTCAGTCAATTACAGGGAAGAAGTTTCCCAAGATCAAAAGATTATGAGGGGGAAAAAAGAAAAAAAAAACAATGTCTAACCAGGGCAGAAGTTTTCCAACATACATCAAATGTAATACAGATTTCTTCTTCCGTTCCCCATCGAACTTAACTTCAGACATTACTATCAAACTAATAAAAATATAAAAATAAACAGTTGACAGCCTGCAAACTCAACCTCAGTTCCTCACCAAGCCCAGAGCATTGTGACAGTTGATTGCATTGTGGTATAAGTTGCTTCCACCGATTTGACTCTTTCCTCCACATATTACTTCCATTTCATTTTTTACTCCACATAGGATATCACAATTCTCCACATAAGACAATGAGAATCACATACATTACCCGAAATGATGGCCACATCATGAGGTGTACTCAAAAGGTGCCGGCGGTTGAGGTTCTTCATCAACAGCCATGGCAGAAGCTGAACCTTGTTGTCCTGTAGTTGAGCCACCAGCAGGTGATTGCGTGGATGAAGGTGCATCGGTGAGCGAGAGCACCTCAGGTTCGTTAGGACGCAAGTCCCTCAGGAGAACAAACCCTGAAGGTGCTGACTTCACTGGCACATATCTGCTGTCTTCAAGAAACCTGATGAACTTCTCCTGAGCAGGAACCACCCTGGCTGGGTTGGTCAAAAGTTCAAAAGATGGCTCAGGCTCTGCTTTCTTCTCCTGTGGCGTATCAACCTACCAAGATCAGGTAACAACATTGTCAAGATATATCCATGTATTTTCTTTTTTCAAATAAATTAAATTTACTTCAAACTAACAAGGCAGAAAATCACAAAAACTGAGAATGACCTGCATAGAGTCCCCTTCTTTTTCACTAGATGATTTTCCTTTTCCAGCAGCCTCAGTCTTTTCATTATTCACTTTCTCTTTCTGCTCTGCCTCTTTCTTAGCCCTAGCTTTGGCCTTTGCTGATGTTGACAGAACAGCAGTGGGAAGTTTTACAGCTGACGTAGCGGTGGGCACAGTAGTTGGTTTTGGATACTCAAACAAGGAAGGTTTTGCATGCGATAAGAATTCAAACTTGGGAACTTTCAAGTCATAGTTGAGTCCAATAAGAGCAGTTGGTGAGAACGACAAGCTTATGAAATATATAAGGGGATACCAATACCAAAACTGGCTGAAAACAGCAAGACCAACAACTGCAGTAATTTTATCATGTTTTGTCTTGGAAAGTAATTTTATAGTCATATTCCTTCCACCAGCATCAAGAATTCCAGAGGCCAAGATTGCTCCCATCTTGCTCATAGTATCTTCATGCTTGTCAAGAATTATTTTTTCCAATTGTCGCCTAAGAAAAAGTAACATATCAGCAATACGAACTTAAAAAGTGAAATACAAGTGCAAAGCATGATACTACAACAATACCTGAAGGTTCCAACACGAGAATCATTGGCTTCATTAATCTGGACCATGACCATAGCCATGGCAATGAGGGCACCTTGACGAACAAAATCAACAACATCAGAAGTCAGAGGCTCTAGCAATGATATAGCCTCACTCAGGCCAGTACCCGCACAGGAAATGCCTACGGCAAGAGCCGCACCATATCGGACATGTGGATTGTACGACTCAGATAGCAGAGAGACAATTCGAGGAGTCTGCAGTTTAACAATACAGTGAGATCCAAAAAGATTAGTTAACTCCTTCTGCTCCATCCACTCGTCACCCACACCACACACAAATACATAAGACGAAAAAAGCCAAGGCACAAACAAAAAGATAAAAGAATTATAATACAGACACACATAAATACATATGAATGCAAAATATTCATGAATATGTTATTGTTAATATCTACAGAAGAGCTTACAATACCGTATTGCATTGACAATAACGAAATCAAACAGATAAACAAGTGCCATGAGAAAGGTTAAAAACAATTGAAAAGATAGGAAATTACAGACCTGCTCTGGCTCAGAGTACAAGACAAACCCAAGTGCTAGAACAGCAGTCCTCCTAACATCATCACTCACATCTGACACTGCAAAGTGTAGCAGCTGACGAATGGCCTTGTTGTTAGCTGTTCCACTGTAGGCCAATGCCAACGCATACATACCTCCATAGCGCAGTATGGGATCTTGATCACGAGTCATCTGTTCAATTAATGTATCTGCTTCTTCTTCCCTTCCATACACTGTAAGGGCAATGCCCAAAGCTAAGCCCCTGAAATATAATCAGATGACCAATGAGTGGACACCATAGCTAAGTTAAGCCTCAGGCAACAAAGAGATTTCAAACATGACTCACCTAATGATCTTCTCGTGCTGTGTCTCATGTGCATAAGCAAGCATCTCGCCTGCCTTCTCACTAGCAGTTCCGACCATGAGCAGACCCATACTGATGCCAGCAGCTTCACCAGCAACAGCATTGTCAGTATAAAGCACATTTTTTATATCATCGTAAATATCTTCGTCAGCAGTTCCTAGAGCTGCCAAGCCAAGACCTAAGCAGGCACCATGTTGAATAACCTGAAAGAAGTTTCCAATTTATGATTCTTCTAAGTACTGGAGCCTTATGGGCTAAAAAGAAAAATTAGATGCCGTAGACTTGAAAATTTAGTACCTCCACAGTAGTGCTGCGTAGGCTATCACGGAGGAATTGTTTAATGCCCTCACCATGGTTGGCATGAATGAGACCCAAAGCGTACAGAGCACCACCTTCTGAGTATGGACTGCCACCACCAGCAGACCCACCCTGGGGCAAGTAAGGTGCCATCAGTGACCTTCCCTGCTGCAGATGGCCTCTATGAATAACACCTAACCCGGCAGTTGCACTAAACTTAGCCCAGTTAGTGGCTCTGCTCAACCAGTCCTGACAATACACATGAATCAGCAACATGAGTTTATTACGAATAAATAAGTGTCTGGGCACATCAGCATGAAGGCAAAACAACAAAAGTTATATGATTATTGTACCAAATTCTCCCTGAGAAACGTATCCACAGTTGTTCCAGCATGCATAATTGCATTTGCATAAATTGTTGCACTATGACAAACACTATTTCTCATCTCAACTGACTGCTTTATCGTCTTCAGAATCAAAAGATCAGACCTATACACAAACACAACCATAATGTAAATTCCTTGTAACGTTTTTCTGCAAATAAACTGTACAAAAATGGAAATCCACAATGGTGAAGGAACAAACGGGCTCACTTGTTATGACTATATAAGAATTGCAAAGTCAACTGTATTGATGTCTCTCCAGACAAAATTCCCCTGATTTTGTTCAGTCTCTCTGCGTAACTCACTTCTTTTGGATCTGTTTCCTGCACATTTGCATTAGAAGCAGGGGTTCCATCTGTCATTTGAACATCCTCTGCAGCAGCAGTGCTTTCATTTTGAGCAGGAGCTGATTCAGTGGACTCTGAAGGTAGAGATTTGGGTACAGGAAGGTGATCTCTCACATTCAAGAGAAAAGCTTGGTGTTCATTTTCTACAAGATCAAAGGCTACTTGAAACGCCAATAAAGCATCGTCCTTATTTTCGGAACGGAGAAGCTTTTCCAATATACTCACAACACCTTCAGGTTCATCCAAGAACATGAGACACTGACAGATACTCAAATAATCTGGAGAAGGCAGCTTTTGGTATACTTTAACAAGAAGACGAAGCACCTGCAGGAAGAACCACAGGATTGTTTTAGAACAATCCAGAAAATACAACCACAAGTTTCATTTGTAAATAACTCTTCTTGGAGCATTCAGTTCAAACTCAAATCAGTAAAGCAAGGTACGCTTTCAGCAACCACTAGAACATATGGAGCAATGGAACACATCAAGGAACCAACTACTAGAATCGTACTCAACAAGGATGTAAAAACTAAGGCATTCGGAGATGTTAACAGCATAACATGAAGAAATAAAAATTATGAGGTTGACACAAAAAGGAACTCATAAGTGTGAATGTGTAGGTTTTAGAAAGGTCATTTCCTATATAATAAAAAAATTGCATTGTTATGATTATCTATAGTGAAATTGACTTGGATAATTACTTAACAATTCCTAATTCATCACAATTCAAGAAATAAATGATCAACTATTATACTTGAGTGAAGACATAAGGAATAATAACACATTTTAATCGAATGTAATAGCATGGTATAGAAACCATCCCACACAAAAAAAGGCATCTAAATTGGCAAACTATATTTAAGAATCTTTTGACATATGGCGGCTATTTTTCAGAGTCTATAACATAGGCTCAAACTGATTCAACTTGAGTAAACAATAAGATAAAGCTTAAATAATAGGTAAGAGAACATCCTCTGAAACCACTGAACAATTTCTCACCTCACGCCGATATTCTCTACGATTAACAAAGGAATGAGAGACATTAATGCAATATGACAAAGTCCCATGTATATTATCACTCCTAGTAATTGCTTCCTCAAGTTTATCCAGTCTCCGGCATTCAATTGCAATTCCCATAGCTTGTTGGTATTTTCCATCCGTAATACACCTACATGAAAGAATGTTTAGCCAACTAGGAAAACATATAAGAGACAACAGATAAATAGGAACCATTTACATACTTATCCAGCATTCTTTCCACAATTGCCTCCAACCTAGGGTCCACATTTGCTGCTTCATCGTTCAATTCAGCTGCCTTTGACTTGATACTGGCATATTCATCTATAGCCTTAGCTGAGGATAAGAGTCAAATTGAAAAATCAGGTCAATAAAAATAGTTTCAATAAAAAGCTGAAACTACATAAAAATCATAATCAAAAAACATTTTGCTTGACTTAAACAAACTCCTATCTGTTCTTCTCCTCCCCTTCCCTCTTACAGGGATCAAAACCAAAGAATGTCTACAGTTATCCTCACCTAAAAGTGTATGAACATAATCAGAATCGTCTGAAACATCAAACAAGGAACCAGCTCCAAGGGCATATGACAAGGAATCATTAAGTTCACCCAAGTAATAGAAAACCTGTGATGACAACAGTAGAATCCAAGTAAAGAAAAGATCAGGGAAGTTAACACTATATTGCTTCTACCCAACAAGAATGAAATTAGTTATAACCTTGGACACCAACAATGCAGCCAATTGCCTCTGATGCTGATCAAACTCTTCGTCCTCATATAAACTTTCTCTGAAACACAAAAGGAAGGAAAAAATATTGGCATTCACAGTCTGATTTATAAATACAAAACAAGACCTACTGTGCTAAGAAACTATATCAACATAAATACCGATATAAAAGTGCAACATTTTCACAATCAATGCAGTTAACAAAGCATTAAGCATCACTAAATTATCTTCACACTGAGTAACAAACCACCAATAAAAAAATATTTGCAATAAGCAGTAACATACATAACCAGCAGTAATTGTCGTTATATACACACAGAGATATATATATACACCAACAAAATCTCCAATCCATGAGACAGTAATTGCTAGAAAGTTTGGGCAGTATAAATAATATGGTTATGAAAAAAAGTGAGGCCCGTTTTATTTATTTCAGTCTTCAAATTAAAGATCAATCCTAGAGATTTTTTATCCATTTGTTATTTACTTTTCAATTAGCTACTCAGTCTGTCAAAAACTTCAGAGATAGTTAGCTGCTGGCTTAATGTATCCACTTTTTTTCCTTCGCTGGGGGAAGGAAAACTTTTATCAGATAAGTCTTTGACTCATGTACACAGTCAAAATGGATTTTTAATTGAAATCTAGCGAGGATGAAAATTGGAGCATTAGATAGCAGAACATCATTTAAGTCAACACAGCCACAGAACAGAACTGCACATTGCATTCAACTAGAATGACTTATGTAATCCAACAAAAAGTCATTGAGGATCCTGTAAACACGTTAGATCACTATTTCCCCCAATCAAGAGCCTGATCATAGACAAAATCAACACACAAAACATCAAGACTCCACCATCATCACCAACCAAAACCCAGACAGCAACCACCTATTACAAGCATTTCCATCATTAAGCTCCATTTCACCATCAGATAGGAAGTCGGATTCTCTTACTAAAGGTCTAACCCAATGAAAACAAATTATAGTGAAGAGAGATACCAACATTAGGAGCAAATTAAAATCTGTAGCCAGTTTGAAACTTAGATCCTATATCTCTCCAATACAAGCAGCTCATGTACCATTACTCGCTCATGGTTACTACCCTGACGATCATTGACCAATACAATATCAGATTTTTCACAACATCTAAAGCTTTCGTCATTTTACCAAGTTAACCAACTAAAATATAAAGTCGAAACAAACCACCACTAAATAAAAATGTAACGAAGTAGCAATTTCTCCCTAAAGCAGCAATACACTCATATTTAAACCCATAACAGAAATAAAAAACCCCTCTTCTGATCTTTTTAAAAATTAACTAGACAACCATTCACTAACAGAAATATAATGCCACATCGCACAACTAAAATACTAAATCCTTTCATCTTCAACCAATTAGCAACTAAATTACTCAGTTAACTCAATGTCCCCTCTTCCAAGAAAGACCCAAAACAAAATTAACCTCACAAAGATTCACATTTCATCCTCAGACAAACCATAAAGATCGAAAACTGAAATTAAACACAAAAAACACACACAAAAACACATAAAGAAATAACGCGAAAAAGGAAAGGGGTAATTGCGTACATTATGGGGACACTAGTGGAGATCTCAGGCCAGAACTGATCAACGAAGCTGTTGAGATTAGAAAGTGCGTGCAATTTCAAGGAGGGATGACTCTCGTTCAACATGGCCAGTAAGCCACCGGCCGAGCTCACCATCGTCGCCGCCATAGCGAGTAAACCTTAGCGAAAACCTTGGGGTTTGTAATGAGTTATCGCCGATCAAACAAAGCGAGCGTCAAACGAGGGTAACTTGGGAAAAGAGAAACCGAAATTCCAAACCCTAGCACAGAGTAAGCGAGAGAAAGGGGTAAAAATCTGAAAAACGAAGACGGAAATGAGATAGAGAAAGAGTGGGGGTTTAATTGATAATAAAAAAATTGTTGGCTTTTATAGGAAATTCTGAATCTAGTAAACTTATGCAACAAGTCAATAATTTACAAATTAAATATTTAAAAGAAAAAAGGAGTTGGATTGGATTGGATTGAAAAATATCTTATTTAGAGAGTTTTTTTTTTTTTTTTTTTTTTTTTCCTTCCACATCGAACCATATTTTCACACAAATTGACTAAACTATCCGTTTATAATTTTTTAAAATTAATAATAATCAAATATCAAAAATGTGTGTTACAATAACCTAAAAGAGGCATTTAGTTAAGGGAATGTTGGATTATTCAAAAGTTGGATTACCTTGGATTATTGAGAATCTTTAGAAAAATGTGTTTGGTTAATTGGTGGGTATGTTATATTAATATGTTTAGTTGGAAGGAATAAATTGGCGGGTATGTTATTTAAATTACTGAATTGTCCTCTAATTAAATATTATTATTATATTATTTTTTAATATTGATTATTATTTGAATTATTATAACCCCTCTGCATTTAAAAACTTAGCAAAAACAACCCCATAATAAAAGTTTGAAAAATCAACAAAGCACCCCCACCAACCCAGCCACTGCCGACCGTCGACAATCACCGCAGGCCGCCAGAAGCTAGCAACCTAACGACGCAGGAAGGCAGGAAATGGCCTTCGTGCACCGTATGGCCATTTTCGGTCAGAGATCTGGCCAGAAATGGCCAGACGTGACAGATCTGGCAATCAACGACCAGATCGATGGCCGTTGACGGCCCTCAATATGGCCAGATAGACGAATCTGGCCTTTGACGGCTAGATTAGATCTAGTTGTCAACGGCCATATCGACGCACGGTGGCCATTTTTGTCCTTCCGTGCGCCATTTTGATGGCGACGGCGGCTGGCCTCGACAGTGGTTGCCGGCTGCAGGTGGGTAGGGGTGGTGGCTTAGGTGGGCTGTAATTTGTTTTGAATTTAAGGGTAATTTTGTCCAAAAAGTTAATTAATTGAGGTGAAATAGTAAAAGCCATATTCATGTAAATAAAATTAAAAATAAGGGCATTATTGTCCTAAAATTTTATTAATAAGGGCTAGAATTGTAACAAAAAAAGATAACTCTGGTAATCTTAGAATACCTAAGAAAATGGAGGTAATTAGATTATTTTCAATATTAATAATAGTAACCACTATTGGTATTTGAAGATTACCGGTATCTTATATTACTTGACAACCAAACATGGTAATCAAGTAATATAAGATGACTTAACCCCAGTAATCCCACATAACCCCCAACCAAACGCCCCCAAAGTATTATCAAACATGTTAATTGTAAAGAATTAAGTTATTATTTTAAGTATATTTTCGCTAGAGCATGTCAAAATTGACTATTAATGCACAAATAATAGGGTAATACTACGTTGACAAACAAATCTTAAAAATTTTGTCTCACAAACTCGACATGACAGCTGATAATTAGTTTATGATAAATTTTCAGCATGATAATTATAACTTATTAGGCCCATAATGAGAGGGCCCTGTAATTTAACATACTATTGGCTAGATCTCTTTTCCAAACGCTACAGAACACCAAAACAATTTGGAAGTTGTCATTCAGTGCGTTGTTGGAAAAGAAGACCGGTCACTTCAATCAAGAATTCAAAAATCATGGCACAAACGAGTATTTTGATAATCCTATTGGGGGGATTTAATTAAATACTAGCAAATCCTAAATCCTTGAAAGCGAAAATAATGCAAACAAATGACACAAACACAAAATTTATAATGATTCACTCTCCGTATGAGAGCTACGTCCACTTTGCCGCTGCAGAATTTTACTATAAAGAAGAAGAAAAATTACAAGAATTTGTCAAGCCTTACAAATTTGCTCACTTACTAAACCCTATTTGGTGGCTCTCACTCTCTAATTGTGGCTTTGCTTTCTATTCAATTTATGATATCTAACTTTAGGACTTAACCCATTTTTATAGGTAATACATATGATATTATTCCTAATAAGACTCAAATCTCATATTCTAATAGAAATTTTATTTTAATTCCTATTACAATTATAATCTTATTCCCAATTGTATTCCTAAAAGAAAACAATTCCACTTAAACACAAATTAGGAAAACCCATGTCCTAATCAAACTTTAATTTGGATTGAATTTGACTCCACAATCTCAACAATCTCCCACTTGGAGACTAATTCAACATGTCTTCAATTCTTCACTTCCATCAGCAACGACATCAACTTTTTTTTTTTTTTTTAAAGCGAGAAGTTCAACTGAAGTTATACACAACTTCAGTTTCTCAATGGTAACCACCTTTGTAAACATATCAGCTGAATTTTTACTCCCTTGAATCTTCTCAAGAGCTATAACTCCTTCTTTGAAAACTGAGCGTATGAAATGGTAACTATGTGTTTTGTCTTAGCATGGTAGACTAGGTGAATTGCTAGGTGAATTGCACTTTGACTATCACAATACAAAGCACTCTTCTCATAATTCTAACCCAATTCTTCTAGAAACCGCTGTAACCATATTAGCTCCTTACTAGCTTCTGTCATAGCAACATACTCTGCCTCTGTAGTAGAAAGAAAAACAATCTTCTGTAACTTTGAAACCCAACTAACCGTTGTACCACCTAATATAAAGACATAACCTATGGTACTCTTGCGGTTATCAATGTCACCAACCATATCAACATTCACATAACCTTGTAGCTCTAAGTCTGACTTCTTAAAGCATAATGCTGAATCCTTTGTCCTTTCAAATATCTGAGAATCCACTTTACTGCTTCCCAATGTTGTTTTCCTGGATTGCTCATGTACCTACTCACAACTCCCACTACATGTGATATGTTTGGCCTTGTACACACCATGGCATACATAAAACTACTAATTGCTAATGCTTAGGGTACCTTGGCCATGTAGTCTCGCTCATGCTCTGAAGTAAGTGACTGATCTTTGGATAGTTTAAAGTGACTAGCCAAATGAGTACTTACTAGCTTTGCTCCATCCCTATTGAACCTATTGAGTACTTTCTTCACACACTCTTCTTGTGATAGATTCAAGAAACCTTTAGCTTTGTCTCTGGTAATCCTCATACCAAGCATTTGTTTTGTAGCTCCCAAATCCTTCATAGCAAACTCCTTTGACAATTGCCTTTTCAGCTTTTCTATATCCTGTTTACAAGTCCCTGCAATCAACATGTCATCTACATATAGTAATAGGATGATATGGGAGTTACCAAGTTTCTTGAAATAATAGCAATGGTTTGCTTGACATCTGAGGAAACCGTTACTACACATGAACCCATCAAACTTCTTGTACCACTGTCTAGGCACCTGTTTTAGCCCATATAGGCTCTTTTTAAGTTTGCACACCATTTTCTCCTTTCCTTGTACTTTAAAACCCTGTGGTTGATACATATAAATTTCTTCGTCTAGTTCTCCATGAAGAAACGTCGTCTTTATATCTAACTGCTCAAGATGAAGGTATTTTTTTGCCACTAACCCAAGTATTGTTCTTATTGTAGTCAATTTGACAACTTCAGAGAAAATTTCAGTATAGTCAATGCCTTCTTTTTGTTGAAATCCTTTCAAAACCAATCTTGCTTTATATCGTTTGCTGCCATCATATTCATCTTTCACCTGATAAACCCACTTGTTTTGCAATGTCTTCTTCCTTTGTGGTAGCTTTGTCAATTACTAGGTTTGATTTGTTAATAATGAGTCAATCTCATCCTTCATAGCTAGCTTTGACTTGATTGAGTCATCAACTTGCATTGCTTCCTCGTAACACTCTGGTTCACCACCATCAGTTAGTAAAATATAATTCAACGAAAGGGAATACCTCTATGGTGGTCTTATAGTCCTAGAGGATCTTCTAGGTTCGAACATGGGTGTTTGTAGTTCAACTTCTGGTACTATATTATCTTGATCTTCCTGGTCATTGTCTTGCATGTCATTCCTTATGAAGTCTTTCAAAGGAACTACCTCTTGCTTCTTCACTTTGGTGTTTGGATTTTCTAACTTCATGTTGAGTCTATTCTTGTAAATCACTTCTTCGTTGAATATGACGTCTCTGCTCTTTATAATCTTGCGGTTTTGGTCATCCCATAAATGATAACCAAACTCAGCATCACCATAACCAATGAAAAAACATTTGTTAGATTTAGCATCATGCTTACTTCTAAGAGTATAGTGAATGTGAATATATGCTAAACAACCAAACATTCTTAAGAAAGAATAATTTACCTCTTTGCCGCTCCAAACTTCTTCTGGGATCTTGCAATTTAGTGGTACAGAGAGTCCTCTATTGAGCAAGTAGGCTGCGGTATTAATTGCATCATTCCAAAATGTATGTGGTAGTTCAGCATTAAATCTCATGCTTCTTGCACGCTCATTTAGGGTTCTATTCATCCTTTCGGCTATTCCATTCTGTTGAGGAGTTGTAGGAATGGTCTTCTCCATCTTGATCCCATTATTAACACAATATTCTTTGCACTGTTTTAAAAGCCGGACCGGACTGACTGGTCCAATCAGTTGGACCGTGAACCGGTCACATGTCCGGTTCGAGTCAATATAAAATCCGCTATTGCACAATAAACCGTTTTAACCCGTCAATGGATCGCGTGAACGGTGCTGGACCGCCGGTCCAACCGGACCGCAAGAAAATCCGATCTAACCGGTTGGACCGTGAACCGGTCACGTGTCTGGTTCGAGTCAATATGAAATTCATTATTGCGCAATAAACTATTTTAACCCGTCAATGGACCACGTGAACGGTGCTGGACCGCAAGAAAAACCGGCCGAACACTGAAAAGGGAAAAAAACCCTAATTTCTCACTTTCTCCCATTACGCTGCGCAGTTTCTTCTTCCTCAGTTCCTCCACGTGCAAAATACTCTGAAAAAAATTTGAATGAAGTCGCAAAAATCTGAAATCCCACACAAATCAAAACTCAATCTTGCTGAAATCGCAACCATCCCTTAT